AAGGAAAATCACAGGAAAACGAGAAATGCAGATCTTGACCTTTACTTTTGAAAGCACTGACAAATGTTGCTTTTTTCCCCTACTGTACTGCTATCAGTAAAAACATTTTCTAAAATTCACTGAAACTGTCTCATAATTACTTCATGTTGAAAATATTAATAAATATGTATATAAATCCTGTTCATATGTATAAATCTTTTATGTTTTCAAATATTCTTGAACATGAAAGTTCACTTTAGTTGTATGTAAGGGTCATGTCATGCTGGATCAATCAAAAATAACACTGGTCAAAAAATCAAACTTTTTTTTTTCTCTCATCAAAAAATGTAAACACTTTCTAGACCAGTTTTGCAAATCTGTTTTTAGTTTTCTTCTAGCACATCTAGTTATCAAAATATGACTGTTTATCCATTTTTGTTTTGAAGATGAGTTTGGCCCATCTGGAAGGAGCTTTGCTAATTCATTGGTGCATTGCACCAAAAGTTTGCTCAGTAGAAAAGCTCAGCTTTCTGTGGACTTCAGTTGATTTTAAAGATTCAGAATGTAGTCCTCTTGTCAGCTTCTTGAGTTGATACAGTCCAAATTGGTTGCAACATGCTTTAGGGTCTCCTGCAATAGCAAAACTTCCTGAAGAACTTATCATCACATTTGTCCACTTCACTCTCTTGTCTCTGAAGTTTTTTAAAAAAAGTTACTTTATACGTAGAAAAAAGAAGGAAAATTATAGCTCATGATAGAAAAGTAACAGCCACAGGTGAAGGTACAAAAAATAATGATATCTACTTTTTTGTCCTCCATATGTCAGTTTTTTACATAGAATGAAAAAGATGCATTTCTTCAAATGCTTTAAAATCACAGTAGACTCACCTTTTTTCATCAACTAAGAGGAAAGTTACAATACTTGTAGGTTGCCATAAGTTCAAGTTTGAGTCAAATTTTGATGTCTTTTATCTGGGGCATGAGGTCAGATTGACCTAAAATGTAGGTAATAGCCTTCATTGTCAAATACAAAGCTATTCACCAAATTTGACCAATACCAGTTAAATTTATTTTGGACTGATTTGGTATGGAACGTGGGAAAAATGTGCTGTTCACATTATTTCTATTTTATTATTACTTCCAATGAGCAATTATTTGGTTGTAGTATTTCTAACCATGCTAATTGCCTTGACAACCAACAAAACCATGGACTTGCTATGCAATCAACTCAAATTCAGGGATTGCAAAATTGGAATGGCACATGCAAATAAAATAATTATGTTAATAACAATCAGGGCTTGATTTTTGAGGAAATTTCCATGTTGTCCTTCAGACAACTGACCTATATTGGAGATTGTCTGGAAGGCTGTATTGGTTGTCAAAAAAAAATACATAGATCCTCAAAAACAATATCCAATTATGACCCTAAAAAAAGACCCACTTACAAGAATTTGGATATTTTTATATCTTATATTTCCTAAAGGTACAATTAATGTTTAGTTGGCAATTTTGCATCTTTATTCAACTAGTTTTGACACCTTATTTCCCAGGAAGTTCCATTACATTGGAAAAACATTAGCCCAAACCATGCTAATGTTACATGGTATCTTAAGGAAACAAATAGTCAGTGACCTCTAAACTTTTAAACAGCACAGTAATCTTGGCCAATCACATTTAGTGTTTTCATTATAACCAGATTGGCCAGCCTACCTGTACAGTAAAGTATACAGCCTGTAGTAAGACTAGACTTCCATCAGAATTCTGACACATACTACTATATTGTAATACGTATACAATGCCTGAGTGCTGCAAAGGTACACACACACACACTGCTAATATGTATTGTTGTTCATACTTGTAGTTTGTATTGACTTGGAGAGAGAGGCAAAGCTAGCCTTATTGTTATTCTGTTTAGTACTGATCAAAACTTTCATATTTTTTTTTGCAGTTATCATTATTATGTTTTGTTTAATTTGTGGATTTTCCCACTTTTCTCATAGTAGCTATGCCTTCTGTATTTTCCTAGACTATTCGATTGGTCTGTCTGTCTAACATTAGCATTAGGTCTATACATGCATAATCGAAACTGGGTCAGTGTTTCAACTGTGACGTACAACGATAAAAATTCTGAGTTGATTTTGTAAATTTGATCGTTTTAGTTCCTGTTGAAGGTTTATCAGTAAGAAGTTGAGACAGCCATGTTAGATTTTTTGTTATAGGTATCTATACTAGGAATTAATTTCATTAAATATTTGTGTTACTGGTGTTAGTTTTTGCTCCAAATTTCTGCCCGCCCATATATACGTCCATGCAAACATTACACACTACAATGTGTGATAATAGTTTCATTTTGAATTTACTTACTGATTAAGTATGTATACTTAATATATATAAATACTTGTACAGTAAGTAAGATTTATTTTGAAAACAGGCATGATGTTTCAATCATGGTTGCGATCATTCTCAAGTATGCAATTTTGAATTGTTTGGTTGAATGTTGATTTAAATACTAGAAATTCTTTACCATTAAAAACTTGTGTACTTGAGAAAGATTGCATCAGTAATCAAAATGTCGTGCATGTTTTGAAAGCTTTTAACTTAGTAAAAAAAAAAAAAAAAGTGTGATAATGTAACTAGCTGAGCTGTATACACTGTACTGTGTTACCACACATAGCCATTCTCACTCAGTTGAACTTCATAAAAAATTTATATGCATAAAGCACCACAAGAATATGGAAAAGTATTTAGTGTTTTGGCAATTTGTTTGACTTGTATCAATAGTTTAGAAACCAATTGTTATGATGCTGATTGGCACAATGGATGAATGACTGAGCTGAAAAATTAAGCAATTTGAAATTCACTATAGAAATATACAAAGTGAAGTCAGAACTTTGAAAGTGAAGTTTAAAGGCACCTAGCCCACTTGTCATAAGTTTTTTCACCTGTTTCTTTTTATTTTTATGGGTTTGTTTCCGTAATTTGTACCTATTGGAACAATAATCCTCTATCAAAAGCCATAAATTACAGTAGTATCCTGTTAGATATTGTAAACATCATTTGATTGATGAATATAATGTTTTCAGAGTGCTCGAGCTTGTGAGCTTGTAAACATTTTATTTTGCTGAAGTTTTTTGACGTTAAACTGAGAAGTTTCTGCTTTTTGCATTTTAGTTTAATTTTGTTAAAAAAATATATAACAATAAATTATGTACATATAGAATGTCCCAAAAGTTCAATAATTTTTCCAGCTTTGTAAATAAGCTATAAATAGGTTTAAAGAATTTCTTTAGTGTTTGGAGCACCAAAACATGATCACCACATACCAAACACAGTTTATGGCACAAAAACTGAATGGCTTATAAGATTACATACAGGAGAATCTGCTCTTTCTGGTCATTATAAACATATCCATTAGCTATGGGAAGCTGATTAGCAAACAATCTTGAAAGTATGATAAAGAGGTGGAGAGGTTTGTCTGGTGCATTTGACAAATTTAGAAAGTAGGAGGTTAAAATTTTATATTTTTGTTTTTAATTGTGTATAGTTTGTGTTGGAAACAGCAGTAGCCTATTTTTAATATTAGAAAATTTTGAATTAGAAAAATGAAGAATGAGAATTTATTTATTTATTTTTTAAATTAAAACTATTTTAATATGCATGCACTAAGATAGGTACCCCTCACAGAGAATTTGCAGTCAGTCTGACTGACTGGCAGCTTCTGGACAACAAGTTTTTGAAGCAGTCTTCACTGGTACTTACCAATTAGCATTACTTTCATTAGGAAGTTTGCTTGTGTCAAGTTTGAGTCTGAAGCTGATTGTGAACATGCACATAAATGGTGGATAATTCTAGAAAATTTAGAACAGTACGTTAAAGAGAAAACTTCATATAAAACAAAAGTCATTAATCAGTTGCGTAACCATCCTTTTCATTTGTTGAAAAACAAAACTAAAGAAACATGTTTGAAAACTAAAATAAAACAATTTATCAGCATAGGTAATATAAATATTAAGTCATGTTTAAGATCCAAAAAACATATTTGTTTTACACTATATGCTGAAATATTTGAGTAAGTATTTTCCTGGTTTTATTGACATTTTTCTTTCTTATTTCTTCAGTAATCACATATTTTGCAAAGAGAGGTATTCGTTTTATGACAGTTGTGTTATAAAGCATTTGACATTTCTAACTAAACACAGCTGTGACTGCTTGTATGCCAAAAAAAATTAAATTTGTTGAGAGTATAGGTACTATGTATTTAGAAATAAGAATAGTGCTAATTAGATTTGCTCATACTTGCCAAATCCGCACAATTGAACTGTAAGTTATTGAAATGTAGATTTCGTAGTTGTAAACATATTTTTTTATGTTAGAAATATTTTTTATCTATTTGAAGATTCAGGAAGATTAAGAGTTAATTTAAGACTGATTTGTGGTGAAACAAAAAATCAGGGATTAGAAGAAAGCACTAGCAGAACAAACCTATGATACACATTACATTTAAAACAAGGTCATGATGTGTCACCACACTGTTACTAATAAACTTGAACTTTGTAGAATAGCTAAACTGTTTTTATTAAATTTATTTACAATTTATTTATGTTTAAAGTACTGTTGTTGTACAAAAACTGGCAAAGAAGTAAGTTGGCATGACTTGCCTTACATTTTATGAAATGCAACTATAAGTGTATTTACTCAAAGTTATGTAAATAAATTAGCAGGATCAAAACCCAACATTAATCATTCATGCCCTTTCAACAATGGTAGCATTATAATGTGATGGTCAATCTTCCTATTTTATTATTAATAATTTTTTTACTTCCATTCTGATAGAATAAGTTGGTAATCCATGAGGATAGATTTCTTTCATTGTTGTTCACTTAAGCTTGAGAATAACTGTACTCAAGTATAATGAGCATTTTGTCAGTTGACGTATCTTATTTTTGAAAATGTGATAATATCAATCTTAATTTTGAAAAAGTTGCATTTCTTTCTTTTCTTTTTTGTTATTATCATTGCAGATAACTAATAAAGACATTTAAGCATGATATCATGGATACACGCCAGAAACTTTACTTCATTTTTTCTGGATTTGGGTCAAGCACTAACACTAAATTAACACTTATTCAGAAGGTTCAGGACTTGGGAGGCACTTACTATGAAACGGAGGTAAGTATAAATACTGTAACAGAACAGAATGATTAGCTCAGTAACTTTTGATCAAATTGGTTATTGTATGGTAAAGTTTATAGTTAAACTTTTGTTTCTCTTAACTAGAGTATTATCACACCAACATATGTTTTCAGATTTATTTTTGGCATTACATATACACTTGTTTATTTGTAGTAAGATACATCTTTCTTTTGTAGAGTTTTAAATCAACAACTACCCATTTAATTTGTGCTTATCCAAGTAGAAGTCAGAAGTATTTAGGAGCTTGTGCCTCAGGTATATGTGAATCTGATTTTTTATTAAGATTGTGTCATTTTCAAATGCATTTGGTTCTAATGTCTTTTTGCATTTAGCTTATTTTAAGTCTGTGAATTTTTTGTTTTATTATGAATCAGACATGTTTTTGTTTTAAGGAATTTGACTCTAGCATGCTCTTGCATTATGTTAAATGTGATTGCAACAAATTCATGTAGAGCAGGTCAGCATGATACTTGAATCTGATAATATCATTAACAGCAAAGGAACCTAACTGAAGGATCACTGTAATCTTGTCATTATAAATTGTTTCTTTGGTGTATTGCAGGGTTTTATAGAAATTTTGTAAAATGCTTGTTACAGTCAACAAAATTCTAAAAGTCTGAAGGGTACCTGTGATCCAAGGATAGCCTCCTCAACCCAGAAGCTTGAGATTTTGAGCATTTTATATGAAAAGAAAACCAACATTTTAAAAAGGGAAAAAAAAATACCATATAATTCTCTAACTCCTATTCAAATTTCACTTGTTCCAAATAAACAATGGGTAAAGACAAATCATAATCATTTTCAAAATCAATAACACATTATATATGATCATGTTGTTTGATAACAATAATATATTACCAACTTCTGATACGATACATAACCTCTTATCACACATAGCTTTTCTGATTAAGTGTTGCTCTTTGTATGCAAACTTTTTTTTGCTCACCACTAGCCTTGAGGCTCCCACCTAAACTTGTAACTTTCCACGTGACATTGCTGTGTTGTAGCATGCAAATGGGTATGTGATGACCCTTCACCAATAGGAGTGCAACACACCCTTCTAGTGCAGTTGACTACCTCTATACTGATTATTCAATCATCACTTCTTGATTTCGCACTTGCGTGTTCAAATGTCTTTTTTTTTCTTCCTCGTGAGCATTATTGAAATAGGTATTTTTTTCTGGTAGAAGTATATACATATCAAAACCATTGTTGTAGAAAGTTTAATTTTGAAATTTAATTTTCAAAATAATTTTGAACCTGCAGATTTTGTGGGCCTTTTGTTTTCCACATGAATTCTCAAGTTACTGGAACTTCTACTTTGTCTGTCAAGGAGGTGATGGCTGTTGTGTGATGGGGTCTTTCATGTGGCCTGGACCTCTTTCTGAGTGTGATACAAATATACATCCTCCTGTGAATCCTGTTTGTGACAGTAAGGATTTTGACAGACAGTTTTCTCATCACCTATCTTTCCAATACTTCTACCAGTACTGTCATGGATCTCCCTAGGCTTTCCTCTTTTTTCTTGGATATGGTGTCTCAGGTATGTTACATATTTTCTGGATCTCCTGTATCTTATGACTTATCACCTTCGCTTCTTCTGACAATTATGTTTTTCCTCCCTCTCCATATATTCAGGTCCGTGCTAAACAGTATTTATCCAACTTCGTTCTGATGCTGCCATGCTTTGTTCTTCTTGCCTGGTGGACACATATGCCTTGGCTTATCATTGGGCTAAGTTCCCCTTTCATGGACTCCCAAACTCTGCAGTCTCATCTTTAGGCTTGGGGTTCATATCCTCTGTCTTCTGTACAATCTTCTCAGGCCCAATATTTCTATCTTTCCCTTATCCTCACTGTATTTTTGCATTATCTTTCCTCCATTCATCTTCTTTCTGAGGTAATCCACTGTTCCCTCATGGGGTTTTCAGTGGATATTCATTCCTTTATGTTTTCTACTTTCAATCATTCATCTTCCTCAGCCTTGTCACATCTTACTTGGCTTCTCTGTTGCTGGGATTTGTTGGGGAGGGACACTTTTAGCTTAGGTATGTTTGCCTCCCTCTTATTTCGGGGACCTTTGTCTGGCTCCTTTCCTCTGCCAAGGTGTTTTTGGTGGTGTACCTAGTTATTTGGAGTCACAGGTTGAAGCAATGTGCCAACATTCTTCCTTATCTTCTCTTGTTTCTTGTTTCCCCTTTTTCCATTTCTGTCTCCTGTCCCCATCCCCCTCCTGTTCCTCTGTGTTCATCCATTTTTCCATTGTTTGTAGACTACAGTGCCATCAATCTCAGCAGGAACCATCCTCTAGGCTTGGGAACATTTAGCTCGGTTTATGGATGTTTGGCATCCATTTGCAGCCAAATGTTGTTTTTCCTTTCCTCTTCCCATTCCTTTCCCTCCTCCAGGTAATCCTGTATCTTGCCAAAAATTCTCAGAGACATTATCAGATCTGTTAGTCAAGGACACTTATCAGATGGTTTTCTCATTATTATTCAGGATTTTATTCCTGTTTGTCATTCCCAAGAAAACTGGGGATTTGCATTCAGTCATAGATCTTTCATGTCTCAATTTGTTTCTCAACCTTCCTTGGTTTACCATGGAGAGTTTTCTCACCCTCCAGTGATCATTTGCTCTTGAGCTTTCGATGACCAAGGTGGATGTCTCCAATGCTTATCTTCACATTCCCATCTCTCATGCATCCAGACTTCTGGTTTGTTCATCAAGATAAAGTTTATTAGTTCTACACTCTTCCTTTTGGCCTTACATTGATCCCATATGTTTTCTGCTAAGTAGTGTGTGCTTTTACTCATCATATTCACAGCTTGGGATTGAGACTCTACCATTATATGGACAACTGGATTCTTTTAGCTCCATCCCAACAAGCCTCCTACAACCATACTCATCTCCTCCTTTGGGAGGCAGCTTGTCTTAGTTGGTTGTTCAAGCTGAAGAAGTCTTACAATATCTGGTTTATTTGGGTGTGTTTTTAATTCACATCTCAGCTGGACTCAGCCTTTTCTGCTTTATTTGAGGGCCATGAAGTATTTGACTTCCACTGCTCTGTCCTGTCCTCCTCTTTCTGAGTGACAGGTTCTCTCTTTCTTAGGGACTTGAGCAGCTATGGAATCCCTTATTCCTTTGGGTCATGTCCACTTGCATCTTTTGCAGTGAACTCTACATGATCAATGGAACCTCTTTTGAAATCCCTTGTCTTCCCTAATCCATCTTCCTCTTTCCCTGCACACCAATTTTACCTGGTGGTTCAACAAAACCAATACTACAGAAGGTGTTCCTCTTCTTCATCCAGATCTCCATCTCTTTAGAGATGCTTTCCTTATTGCATGGGGTTCTTGTCTCAACTCTTGGGAGATTTCTGTTTGATGATTCTTAGAAGGATCAACCCTTCCTGTCAATTTCTTGGAACTCTTAGCAGTTTTTGGACCTCGGGTAATTTTCTTAGTTGTACAAGGCCATTTGGTAATGATCAATATGGACAACTCAACTGTGGTATCTTATGTTAATTGCCAGGCGAGCACATGGTCTCACTCTTCTTTTCCATACCCTTGACCATTCTCTATAAGTCTGACTCATGGATTCTCATGTTCTGCATGCCTTGAATTTTATTGTGTACCATCTCTTAAGGCCTGACCGTATATTTCCCATGGAGTGGTCCCTCAATCCTTGGGTTTTTAAGTGACTTTGCTTTCATCCTGACACCCCTTTCATTGATGCCTTTGCCACTTCCAACAACAACAAGATTCTCTTTTTCTGGTCTCCTGTTCCAAATCCAATGGCTCTGATGATGGACGCATTTAGTGAGAATTGGTCCAACCTCTTTATAATTGCATACTCTTCTATTTATCTGCTCCGTCATATTCTCTCTCTCATTCAGAACATTCCATGTCAGGTTCTTGTGACACGGTATCGGCTGGCTCAATCATGGTTTTCTCTGTTGAACCTTCTATAGTCTTCCCTTCCTATTCCACTCTCTTCTTCTTTAGCCTTTTTCTTCTCTCTTTCATACAGCCATGTTGACACTCCAACTTCACATGTAGGATTTGTGTGGTCCCTTGCAAGATGTTTCAGACACTTTTTGCATGTAGCCTTACTACTTTCCCATTCTGTTTGCCCATCCTCCCTCCATATGTATCAGCAGAAATGACATATTTTTTGTAATTGGTCACTGCATCATTCTTTCTCAAATTCTTGTCCTTCTGTTCCCTGTCTGTCTGAATTCTTGAAATGACTCTTTGACTCTGGATTATTAGTATTGGCTTGTTATTTACCAGGTGGCTATATCTACTAGTTTCTGATTTTCCCATTACTGTTTAGGATTTTCCTCCCTGATCTTCCATTCCTTTCGCCACCTTCATCATCCCTGTTTTTCTTTCCTTCCAGACTGTGAATTTAATGTTGTTCTCAATGCCCTTACCTTTGCTCCCTTTGAGTCTTTGGCTTTTTGTATCTTATACTATCTTTTCCTTAATAAATATGTCCTCCTCCTTTTCACCTTTTCGTGCATTTGTTTTCTTGTCTTTCTCTGTCATGATCATGCTATTCTCCCTAAAATGTCTGAGGCACATGTGGGTAACAGCACATTTACACCTCTATCTCTCCTTGCTATTTCTCATCTTTATTTTCATTTGGATCATGATTGCCTCGTCTGCCCTGTCCTTGTGGTCCATAGTTATTTGGCCTACACTTTTCCTTTTTGTGGTTTCTGATCCCATTTCTTCATTTGTTGGAATCCTTCTTCCACTAACAATCTTTCTCCCATTACTCTCACTGTATGGCTTCTTCCGCTTATCCGTTCAGTGTATTTTTCTTTGGATAGGGATGCACATTGGCACTTCCAAGTGTCCTCCTATCAAATTCATTACCTTCCACACTCTTTGGCTGCTCAATTCCATTGTTCATTGGAGGAGATTGTTCAGGCTAGTATGTGGACAACCCCTTGCACTTTTGTCTCATGCTATTTCCATCATTTGACCATTTATTATTTGTTGTGCTGCAGAATATCTCTGGTTGCTCTTTTCCTAACCTCTTATCATCTTGCCCCAAATCTGATATAGTACTAACCCACGAGATGGGGTGTTCCACAAAACTGCTCGAAGTATCCTCAGTGCTCATTATCTTAACACTAAGGTTATGGTATATGTCCAAACGGCCTAATGCATAACCACTGAAGTAACCATGAGATTAGTCAGGCTATAACTTGTCTTCATACAAGGCTTTTGTATACAAAAGCCAAGA